AGCAAAAAAAAAAAAACAAAACTGTTTTATGGGGAATTGATGAGGGGTTGATACAGAAATTGCGGCATATATATAATATTTTGCAGAGAATGAGGATTGATAATTCAAATGATATAGAGAAAGGAACGCTATACGGCAGTAGTACGAGCAGCTGGAGCAGACGCAATAGTGTGGAGTCAGGAGTGAAGGGGAGAAATGATATGAATCTTTTCGTTCTTTTTGTGAGAAAAGAAAAAACGAGATGTTGATTAATTATGATTATGATTATGATTATTATTATTGGTGAAAAGCTGATTAATAACAACATTTTCTTTTCGCGAAGCCACAACGACTCGAATGTCGTTATCTTACGGTGCAACAAAACCGTTAGTTAACGACTACAATAAGTCATGGATTTCGGCTCAGAATAACCAGAATGCCACGGAACGAGCTTGGCGATTCACCGGATCTCCTTGGTCAAAGGGTCATCATTTGCATCTCGCCTGATTTTATTTTTATTATAGACACAATAAGCAATTTGTAAATGTTTATGGTCAAATTTAAAGGTATTTGAAAAAGCTTTATGTGAGAGCGCGAAACCTTTGGGAAAAACTGACAAGAACTGGGAAGGGCAACGCCGGAGTATCAACGACCACGACAGCAAGGGAAGGAAAGGAAGGAGCACAATTTTAGCGATGAATGAGGGCGGAAGGATGTAGAGGGCTACAACGTTGGAATATAGGTGGCACAACAAGGGTAGGTAGCGGGACCCGCAATGGGAGAGGGGGAGCCACGTGGTAACATAAATGGGGGAAGCAGCAGAGAGCACAGATCTCGTGATGGGGACCAGGATTGCCACGTGTGCGCCGACAAACGCCTCATTTGTCGGAACCCTTCCACGGCCCCCACCGTCATACGTGCTTCCTGCCAATTTCCTCTCTGAAAATGAAATCCTTTTTTTTTTAATAAAAAAAGAAAGAAATTATATTTATTTATTAAAAAATCATCAGGGGAACCATCATTCAGTGTCCCAAATCGACTACAATTATAATCATAATATGATTTTGCCCTCCCCTCATTAATCCTGTAATCCACTGTGTTTTGTAAAATATAAAATGAGTAGTAATAAATCATATACGTAACTACAGTTCATCTCAAACTTAATACTATGAGGTTCCTATATATACAACACATTACATTTGATCTGTGGGTGAGAGGCAGCAATCTCCAGGGTGTGAAAGAGGTCTCCCGCTCTCCCATTGGTGTTACACGATACTCGATACTCCTGTAGAGACAATTCTGACTCAACTATTTGATGACATTGAATTGTGGATCTCAGCTCTCCATTTCTTATGATACATTTGGTTATTAGAAACAAATGAAGTGACGAAGATAGGTTAATAGAAAACATAACGTGTTAAATTAAGGTTATAGATTTTAAAAAAGATGTGTAAATAATAGAGACAGGAGAGTCATGAAATTATAGGAATACAAAAATGAGAATTGGCATGAATAAGACTTTCAATCTTCATTTTTTACTTGCATATTTTTGTGTGGCTATTTTCTATTATTACTACATCTCCGTTAATATATATATATATATATATTATTTTAATTTATTTTTCTCTCTACATTAAATTTCATTTGTTTTCTTTTCAACAATCGAACAGGCACTTATTATTGTTGGATTGGATTCTAGACTAGAAAACCAGAGGACCCTTAACCACAGAAACGAAATGGGTGACTGGCCAGTAAAATCAATTGCATTTCTATATATTCATGAGATACCGTTATATTATTCACATTTCGTGCTCACTGGGTATGATCAGCACCTTATGCTCATCACCCTTGAAATAATATCTACCACCATTATACGGTCCAAATTTATACATTTTTTATTCTTTTATTTTTTAAAATAAAAATTCATAAAATTTTAAATAAATATATTAATTACTAACATGTATCAATTATATTTAATTAAATCAGCCCAAATTTAACATTAATTTTTTTATAATTTATATAAATTAACCATACAGACTTATTTTGTAATGTTCAAATTTAAAATTTTTAACTTATTATACTATCAAATTCAAAACAATTCAAAGTAAATTTGTATAATTAATTTATAAGAATTATAAAAATAATAATATTAAAATTGGATTAACTTGATTAAACATGAACCGTACAAGTTATTAATTGATAGATTTATTAAAATTTATCCTTTTTTATTTTAAAAAAATAAAAAATTATCTAAATCTAAATCATGCAGATTAACTAGAACGGTCCAAATTATTTTAGCACATATCTCTTACCCACCAACCCATGGGCTCAATTTATCAATTAGAGGATTTAAATCCCTCAACCAGGAGCCTCACTCACTCTCGCGCGCACTTGTGTAGCGGACTATTAATAGTTAGATGTAGTATTGCAAACTACTATCTATATGGCCATGTCTAGAATGATACAATATTTTTATATATAAAATACTTATTCCATTTAATATATAGTGGGGTAAAGCTTGCTTATGTTGTTATATTTATTATATTCCATTTAATTTTGGATTGTTAAATTTTTTATATTCACTTGTTCGTGCTTTAATTAGAATATAAAGAGATCCATGAAATAATATGACTATACGTGCCATCTAGTCTATCTTCAGATACACAACATAATTTACAAAGGATCTAAAATTAAAATATTTATCTTTGCGATATCTACGCCTCTAAAAGGATTAGTCCTTCATTTCCAATTAAAGTTACCTTGTTTCACAAAAAATACAAATATATAATATTTTGCTTATTGAAAAAACTTACTCCTTCTGTTTAAAAATATAAGACATTTTTAATTAAATTTTAGCTCATAATAAAATAATTACATACTTTTCAACTAATCATATGTTTTCATATTCATACCTATTAAACATCCTACAAAAAATATAAAGTCATTATCAATAAAGACACTTTAAAAAAAATAATGATTATACCTCAAAAGACTAAAAATATCTTACATTTTTTAACATCTAACTCCTCAAAAAATATCTTATATTTTTGAATGGAGGGAGTATATACTTAGCTTTGCACAATTAAAGTATTATTTTTTAATTAAATTAAGATATATGTATCTTTTATAGATTATTTAATTTACAACAAATTTTTATTATCAATATTATTAATACATTAAAATTCACAATTTGATTAAATTAAAATATTATATATATATATATATATATATGTTATTCTCGCTTGCTTATCTCTCCAGTCTACCCTTGATACAAAAAGAAAAAACACGATGCTGGTCGCCGAAACTTACCTAACCCATAGACGTGGATAAACATGATCCAATTGTTTTACATATTATATTATTAAATATTCACATGTTTGTAATATTTTAATAATACATGTACATAATTTGTTTTGAGGGGCCTACCATGCATTATAATAACCACACTAAGTTTATCTTCATCAACTTTATGCCCAGCTTGAACTGACCGAGGCCGTTATCGTTTGCAAGCCACTTGGAAAAAAATAAACCCGTCGATAAGTTGTACAATTCTATTGAAAGGCCCATGCAATGTAACAACATAACTTACCCACACGATCGACGATTATTAACAACAGGCCTGTCTGATTCTAACGACATAGTATTAGATTGCTCAATAAGATATTCAAATTTCAAAACTATCTCTTGTTTTAACCCTATTTGTGTGTATAATTTTTAAATTGACTGTAATATCACATGGGAGCAGAAACTGCTTGAAATTTGATGAGGGTTAAATTAAAATAGAAATTGGATGAGGAGCAGAGAACCATTTTATTAAAAATAACAATAATAATAACAGCAAGTCAGACAAATTTAAAAAAGAAAAGAGAAGAAAACAATTTTATTTCTCGAAACTGCGCGCCGACACAAATTGAGAGGAAATATTGTTTGCTAGTTCATTCTGGAGAAGTTAAGGAATTAAACATTTTCACGAGGAAATGGAGATTCCCCTTACGTGCGTCCATGGAATAAAATTTTAAAAGAAGTAAAGAGCAGCTTCATCGGATTCTCCTTATCCATGTGCCTTGGTGTTTCCTTTCATAGGACACTTTCAATCTCATCCTTATAATAATTAACCCTTACATGCATGTATTATTCTCTTCCCCTAATAACCTCCAAATCATCTCTCTTTCTATCAATCCTTGGATTCTCTCGTATACTTGCTATTCATGACTGTACTTTTTTGGATCTCTTCCTTCTGGGGTAGCGTAAAAGATAAGAGTGACAATGACAACGATAGCCTCTCCCATCAATATATTGATATTTGTTAAGTTATGCAACTTTAATCCTGTAAAGCGGTCTGGGGATTTCTGATCCGTACTTGCAAAATGTATCGGTGTGTATACTGCATGGATCGATTAATTGGAAGATGAGAAAGAGAAGGGTTTCTGCAGGCAAAAGATTAGCGTGTCGATGACAAAAAGGAACGAGCACAAGGGATTAAAGTTACGTTGCAGAAGGAATATTGAAAAGCTACGATGATCAGTCGTTCAAAAGTTGCTTCCTTTTCTAGTTTCGCATATAATTATTGATCCCTCTCCTTCTACGAAAAGTTTGAGTGATTTGGCTTCATTTTTGAACCACTTTTAATACTTTTTGAGGAACATGGGCTACACTAAATCGATCAACTTATATTAATAGTGCAAATTATGTTGCCTTTGCATATACTTTCTTTGACATATCCCACCAGGTCAAAATTAATTAGATAAAAAACTTTATCTCCTAATCAAAGCTTGACTATGAGCAACACACATAGAGCAAGAGATTCAAACGAGGGAAATTAAATCAAACAGTTAGAGAGCTCTTGCACCAAATTAGGGTAAAATATATTTCTGCACTCTTAATCATTGCTTGACTACTACAAATTAAAGTAACTATAAATAGTCATAAACATGGTAAACTAGAGTGATCTGAGCTGGACTGAGATGAACTGAACTTGGAAACTCCATGTGTGGGATGGTATTATATAGCTATCATAATCATCAAGCTGATACATTTCTGAGAGAGGAAAAGAATAACTCTATATCTGGGGAAGAGAAAAACGCTATTGGAGATCTAATGGATGAGTAGTTTTGGATTACCCTTGTCTTCTTCGGAGCAGGTGGACATGATAGTATCTCTGGTATTTTGAACCTTTCAGCCTTCGGAGTACTACATCCACTTGAACATATATCTTCCTCCTGATCTCTCTTCGTGTTGTGATCGCCTGCAAGTTCACGATGGGTCTTCGAAGGAGTTGTCAGGCCTGATTCTTGTTGCTTCTTCTTCTTCTTGTTCCTTATTTTCTTCAACTTTCTCTGCTGAACCTTCTTCTGCCATACTTCATTGATGCTTTGAGCCTTTGCAGAAGATGCCGGCGCCATCTTAGTAAGTGGGAGAAAAATACAAGTAATGAAAATCTTTGTTTGCAGCTAAAAAATATTCTGATTGATTCCGAAGCATCAGAGAATTTTCATGCTGATGATAAGGGATCGAGTTTGAAAAGCTTCAGATACGTGTCACGTAAATCCAAAAAAGAAAACACTGATACAGCAGCAACTACTGCCACTAGCTTGAAGATTATGAAATTTTATACGAAGCTCTCACTACCTAATCCTTATAAGTAATAAGAAAGAAACACCTTAAGGAGTCCCTCTCTCTATATGCTTACATGAGAAAGGAACGCCTTTTTGCTCCAGGTTATATTATAAGCTTTACACTACTTACTGTGTAGATAGTATATAAAGCAACGATATGAGAGGAGGGAGGGGGAGAGAGAGAGACTAAAGTTATATATAACGCAACAACGGAGGGGAGGGGATGAGAGAGAAAGGGGGGGAGACGAGCTTTCCTTTTAACTATTGTGGCGTTTTCAGGTGGAAGATGAAGACAGGAGAGAGAGATTTTTTTTTTTTTTTTGGGGTTCAAAGAGAAAAGTTTTGTGTGGGTAAACTAAATGTGTATTGAAAAATATAAGGGGCAGTATCGTATTTTAAAAATAATGCGCGGACGATGATAAGCACAGTGCAGGTAAACCCTAGGAAAGAAAAACAGTAGCAGGCTAACTGACTAAAAGACGGATCAATTGATGCAGGTATTGATTCTGGTGTCAATTAATTACTATTACCACTGTTTTCAAAATCATCGCTAATACAAAAGAAGTAGCTTGAGTAAATAAACTTCCTTTGTAGAGTACTGTACGACATTTTTAACTAATTTATGTCTCTAATAATTTAATAAATTAGTTAATGATATTTAAAATTATATATTTTTTCATATTTATTTTTATTTAATAAGATGTGTTTATTAAAAATATTATAATATAAAATAGAACACATTGGTAATTACACCTTAAATTAGAATTTTTTTAAATGTATTAATTATACATTGAAATGCACAAAATATTTTATATTTTTAAATGATATAATAAAAAAATTTCTTATAATACTGAATGAATAGAATATACACTGTTGACCTCATAAGAAATATTGACCATGCACTAATGGCCTGTTTCGTATTCTAACTGGAGAATGAAAAAGAGAAAAATATTAATGAAGGTTTTTGGTCAAAACGACGATGTTATTCATATGGCAAAGTGCTAGATAGGGACCCTTTGGCACCCTGCAGTTGTCTACATTCGGCCATGAATGATAACCATATCTTAAAGGTTGAAACTTGTGATCTTCGTTGCATCACCAATTTAATCGTACACTGATTGCAATCTAAATTATGTTTACCTAATACATTCTAAAATGATCAAAAGCGAGGTTACCTCATTAAGGTACTGTCTTTTCTCTGCATGTATGGATATATTATTCCCTTCACGTGCCATTCGCGTGCTGCCTGAATTATCCACTTGATAAATATTCAGAAAAATTACTTGAATGATGTTTTGTGCAAATTAGACCACGCTTATAATTTTGGAAATTTCCGATCGCCCAACTTCATTACTTTAATTTTATAACCTAAATTGTCCCGTCTCTTGTGTTTTCTGAAGTAAGTACTCGATGAAATGTTAATCCATGACTCATCAGAAACATCTTCCTTCATCCACTGTATAAGTGGAAGCGAGAGAGGAATAAGACTTCTATTGAAAAGACAAGTGGATTTTTTTTCAAACTTCCTTCATCCACTGGTACCGAAGAGGGCATTCATTTGGGCTTCATATTTGATGGGCCTGCTAAGGAAGCGTTTCATTTAGGCCCGAATAAAGGAAAAGTATGTTAAGAACCAAGAAAAGGAAAACTAAAAATAAAATAAAAACGCCCACCGTGGGGCTCGAACCCACGACCACAAGGTTAAGAGCCTTGCGCTCTACCGACTGAGCTAGACGGGCTTATTGTTCAGCGTTTGCTATTCAAAGTATAAGTATAATTTCCAAAATTGCATACTGATCCTTCTTTACACGAAAATACATATTGTTTTTCTTTTTTATCTTTAATTCCAATTTATGATAAATGAAACAGAGGTCCTAAAATCATAAACATAAGAATCTAGATTAATAAATACAGAATAAAATGATTTTTTTACAAATATTAAATTGTTTATATTTTAAACTAAAATTAATTTAAAAAATGCTTATATTTCAAATCAAAAGGGAATATTTCTTAGAATAAGACAGATTATTAAGAGCCTAGGTATTTACTTGAGAGAATGACAATTGAAGACTTAGTATGAAAATTAATGTAAAATAAAAACTCTTGAATTGTAAATTCTTAAAATTTCATATATAAATTTATGATATTTAAGTTATAACAGGTCTTTGATATTTTTTAAGAATATTAATATGTCATTTAAGTATTAATTTTTTAAGAATATTTAAGTTCAGCCACGATTTTCTCTTGAATTTTTTTTTTTTTGGGAAAAAAATCCTTCTCGATATGAACCCCCCCCCCAACTTCTCTTGGTCCAGAACGCAGAATCTGGCAGCGTACAAGCCACAAGATAATAGCGCCACATGACACCTAGCCTCTAGATAGTAAATAAAGGCTTGAGTATTTTCTCTTCTGTTTTTTTCCCCTTCCAGGAAAATATCTTTTATCCTTAAGCGAAAACACCACCACACGATGAATCAATCTGGGAATATTCATGCACGTCGCATGAATGAATCTAAAATGGCAGGTTGAACATTTATCAGAAGCCTGGAACCGGAATGGACACCAGATTGAACCATCAACCTTTCTAGTTTCTGTTTAGAATACTTTGACCAGGAAATAACAAGTAATACACATAACAATAATGCAACAAATCCTGAACGGTACGTGCTCATATGGAGAGATTTAGCTTCAAAACAGAACCTGAAAATACATCGTGGTGCTCACAGTTCAGTTTGCAATCATCACCCCACATAAGGTTAAGGCCAGAACCAAAAATAATGGGCATGGCCATGTCCATTTGTCATCTCATCTACAAGTTAGTCCTAAATCTACTATACACATTGAATAAAAGGAAAAAAAATCAACAGTAAATGAGCATAGACTCCAACAAGTTCATCAGACATCTACACTAGTGACTCTGAATCATACTCTTGAGTATCATCATCATCTTCTAGCAGAGGCCTTTGGACAGCGAAAGGGCGTGGTGGGAGATCAACATTCAATATACCATCTAGCACTCTTGCTACCTCCCCCATTGAAGGCCTCCTACGTTCATCCACTTGAAGACACCAGAATATTATTCTTAACGCACGTTCTAGCTCCTCTGAATCGATTCCACTATCAACTCTTTTGTCAACCACATTGTGGGGTCGTCCTTCCATCCACTGTTCATATGCCCACTGGCAAAGATCCTCGGTGTCTTGACGCCCAGATAACAAAGTTAGTGCCAACTTGCCAAAATCCTCCACATCTTTCTCAGCTGAAGAGCCACAATATGGGGTCTCACCATTTACTCTTGCAAACCCAAATTCAGTTAACTTGGCCTCTAAGTTTTCGTCCAGTAAGATATTTGCACACTTCAGATTGCCATGGCTAACAAACTCCCGACACTCGGTGTGCAAATAGCAAATGGATTTTGCTACACTTGAGCATATCTCAATTCTCTTTCTCCAAGTTAGCCTCCGGCAAAGAGACGATTCACCTAAGAACTTATCCAAAGAACCGTTCTTGACATACTCGTACACCAAGAATCTGTGATTGAACTCACAACAATAGCCCTCCAGCTTCACAAGGTTTTTGTGATGAATGCTCCCAATCTTCATGACAGTGCTCCTGAACCTCCTTTCTTCTATGCTTGCATTAAGATTCTTAACTGCAACCAAGTGATTGTTCTGTAGTGTACCTTTGAACATATTTGGACCGATTTGGTTCTTGAAATCCCCAGTGAGGCTCTTTATCTCTGGGAAGGACAACACAAACAAACCCTTTGAGTTGGGGCATGTTAAAGCTAAAGTAACTTCCTTCCTCGTTATTTTTCTCCTTCTGCAGATGAAGAAACCAATTCCCAACTGTATGACGGCAAAGAAGAGAAAAGTGGCTGAGGCTGCTCCTATCAAACAAGGAACACAAAGTGCTGGAGGCGGTTTAGGAGGAGGTGAATTAACAAGACCAGGATTCACAGCTAATGGACCTGAACATCTCTTAACAAAAGATATTGAGCTTAGAGAAGGATCTGCAAACCCAGTGACATACTTAGTTTTCTTTATTGAGCATTTAGCACTTCCATCATTGGAAAAGGTTGCAACTGTACAATGTGGGTCATTCAAACACAACAGTTTGCAATGCTGCAAACTACTTATGGTAATTGAATCTACAGGCGGGTAAACTCCATATAGAAATGTTTTTTCATACGTAAGCATATTGATGCCTGATTCACATGCCTCATCGTATGGTACCAAACATTTGTTAGGGTCAGCTAACTCAAACGGGCATCTGCAATCAGCAGAACCTGAAGTGGTTAAGAAACACATACCACGTTGACCACAAGTTGCAAAGACCTTGCACTGATTCTCAACAGCTTGCCAAACTGGTCTCCATGATTGCAACATTTCTATCCATGAATATATCCGCAGATTGCCATCCAAATCAAGCCTAAGAAACCTATAATTTACTGATTCATTGTGGTCTTCACCAAACACTGACCAAACTGGTTTTGACCTTTGGTCTTGAAGTTGCAGGGCTCCAGTGGCTGTGAGACAAGCACTCAGATTTGCAATAGAAGGGCTATCACTTGTCCAATAGGTAATATTACTTTCCCAGCGAAGATGTAACTGTCCTGAGCCATTCAATAAAAGGCTGTAGTAACTGGACATGGTTTGCTTGCTGGCAGCTCGGAGTGTTTGGTACACAGATAAACTCTGCCCTGGGACAAGTGTATCAGATGGAGTATCAAAACTCTGCCAAACAACATGCTGTTCCCTGTTTATGAGCTCAAGATTGCCATTGTCACGAAAAATAGCTGAAACTACAGATTGGCTGGCAGTTCCACTGGTCCATACTACTCCCTGTAATGAATCAAAGAGCACTAGATCTCCTTCTGGGGTGAGTTGGAAATAGGACATGCTACCCACAGTGACATGAGCTCCAGCCACCCAGACCACAGTTTGTTGGCTAAATGGTATAGACTTTGAATTGAAACGAATGCCAATTCTAAACTGACTAGGTTGATCTGAAATGTTAAAGAATCCTAATGCAAAATCACCATTGGAGGAGACCCAACACTCATTGTCAACCACAGAAAGTTTTGAACCCAGTGGAATTTCAGATGTGAAAGCTGAGTGTAGCAAGAAGCCAATGAAGATGCACAACAAGAATGGTGATTTAATCCGATATAACTCTGGTTCAAGCATATCTAGATATACTCAGGGAAGCAAAACTTGTGAAATAGCGATGAAATATATCCCCTAACGTGTCATTTAACCGCACAAGTTTACACCTTGATAACTACAATACCTGGAAAGGGATAAGGTAACGCAGCGGTTATTCTCAAGCCCAAGTGTGGTTTAGTGGTGCAATGGTAAGAAATGAGGGGGGAAAAAACAGCTTGGATTCAGGGGAACAAATGTGAAGGGTTTTTTTATAAATTCAAATACAACCAATGGGAAAGAAAATATACAAGATTGGAGGTACCTGAGCTGAAAGAACAGTCAGCTACTTCGATTCAAGAAGCCACCACAGACTGCTACAATGAATATTACAGAAACAAGGTTATGCTACTTAACATGGGAACACCATAATTTTCAAAAAATATCTTGAAATTGGAGAGGGAGATAGGAGATTCCCAGGCAGAAGCCCTTCTTTATATGTTAAATAACAGGCAGAGATGAATTTGATTAGCATACAAAATGGACTTTGCGCAGCAAGGGGGCCCAAAATTAGACCAATGGCAATGAGGAACAAACTTATGAAAATGCAATCACTTTTCAGGGTTCAAGGAGCCAACACAATGATATATTATCAGCAGAGCAGCCCTGAATTTCGCAGATTAATTTCAATAATTCAATAAAAAGAAGAGTAAGAAGAGGAGCCAAGAAAAATAATGAAAAGGATGAACCGATAAAGCCAATTTCAACGGGGAGTACTTTAAATGGGCACGAAATTACAGAAAGATGAAAACATTTCGCTAACCACTTTTGTGTATAAGAGAAAGATCTGAACAAATCAACGACAGAGAGAAGCTGACTGTCATGGCGGAGGAATTTTGAGCTTCAACACAACAAACCTCGAGGTCCATCCTAGCGGAAATTTTCTTGCTTTGTCTGGGTAAAGTTTCCGGCACCTGACTACTGTGAAAAGGGAGGGAGCTAAAGAGAGCAACTTTCACAGATAAAATGCGTTTGGATTTGGAGTAGGAATGTAAGAGCGAGACAAGTACCAGAAGTAAGATATGCTTAGGCAAATGGGGATAGGGAGGTATGAAAAGTTAGACGCAGATGTCAAAAATAGTGGACAGTCGCCAGAGAAGATGAAGTGTTCCTGGAGAGAGTGGAAATTCAAATCACCGGAATGTACAGCAGCTCCTAACCAGTGAACAAGAGCGAGGAATGGGTTTTGCTGGAATTTTCTTTTTAACGTGCAATTGGCATCTACAGTTACAAGCTTGGTTATTTGTTAATTTGTTATACTGAATTACTGATAATTAAAATCATAAATTTTTTTTGTATTATTTTTTAAAATGAAAAAAATGTGCGTTTTGTGAAATATATTTTTTCGTGAAAAAATAAATTGAAAGTGAAATATTCCTATGAACTTTTTATACAAAGACTACATAATTAAAGAATGAATCACACAAGGCGTTGAGAGTTGCAATGATATCAATTACTTCCTCCATTTAAAAATATTAAATATTTTTTAAAAAATTAAATAATTAAAAATATAAAATATTTTTAATATTTTAAAGTATAATCATTATTTTTTAGTGTCTCTATTAATAATAATTTTATATTTATTATAAAATATTTATTAAAAATAAATATGAAAAAATAATATTAATTTAAAAATAAATAATAATTTTATTAAAGGTTAAAATTGAATTAAAAATATTGTCTATTTTTTAATGGAAGGAATATCATTTAACCAAAATAATGAATTAATAAAAAAAATCTCATGATAATCTTTTGTAATTAAAAGACCGGCAAAAAAAATAAATAAAATTTGGGGTGGCGGGACGACCTAGAGTGTGCAGGGAACAACATGTGATCCCCAATACCTTACTTTCTGTCTTCTTGTGGTCACTTTCTGCAACTTGCTCTGTCTTTTCTTCTTTCAAAAATATGTACTGTTTGATTTTTATTTTCCATGAAACTCAGATTTAATTAACAACACATAACCCAATCTTCATTATGCTTAGTTGAATTGCTTCAACGTGATTAATACAGTCCCCTCTTTATTATTCCTTCAATGTGAAGCCTCCTCTGGTAAGTCACGGAATCTGATTATGAGCTTCACATCTTTCCTTCCTTTACGGACCCTCTCTCCTCTATCTTCGATGTATCAAATTTATAATTATAATTGTCACAACTGTTAATATGGAATGATATAATTATAATGAAATGAACATTCTCTGAACAATATTAAGTTGAACAGATCACCTGCCAGTCTATACCCTTCTTAAAATGGAAAATACCTCTAGTGAGTTAGAAATGGGGCAAATTGTTGACCAAAAAAAAACTCAGAAAACATGGGTGGCTAATAAAAGGAAGGATTAAATATTTATTTATTGGATTTGATTAGGCTAAAGTGAGTAATTAACACAAGTTGGAAAGGGTGGGGGTAGGGAAAGGAACAGGGGATGAAAGTCAAAGTTTGAATGATTAAAGAAGCGGAAAAGGAAAGTTTGAAAAAGCAGACAGCGAGATAACCTTGAAAGGTGAAAGATTCTGCCTTTTTGGCCGTAACAAATACTAAATAAAAACAAGAGTCCCGACTTTTCATGAACAAAAATTAAATATTTGGATTAATCGTACGTGGGGTGCATGCAACTCTAAATAAAGATTAAAGCGCCCTTTCCCACTCACAGCAATCATGAATCCATCAACATACCAATTTCAAGCCAAGAATTAAAAAATTGAAGCATTCCTTAGAACGTTTCTTCTGGGAACAACAGTCACCCAAAGAAAACCATAAAAATAAATGGGATTTATATATCAACTCGAGCATGTGAATGGGGAGACCATACATAATTATATGTGGTAATAAAAATCAGGTATCGAATCGGTGCCTTGATTGTTCTAATTTCTAGTATACTAGTATGTGCCTTGATGGTATTCACTGATTAGTAACTACTCGACTTCAAAAATATTTTACAAAATTCATAATTATGATGATGTAGACCAGTAATAAAATATGGAATATCCGCTAGGGATGTGAATCTAGGACAATTAAACAGTGGATTGATTGCAATGTCGTTTTCTTTGAACGGCACTTAGGAGGTAGCAGCGTCATTTTCTCTCTCCTTATTTCTTCAAACAACTCTCCGTGATTCACTCACATACACACGTACTGGTTGTCTGGTCCTATCATAAGGCGTATTTTAGAACTATTCCTCGGTCTTCAATGCAAGATGTTGGATGGGTCATCAATTGCATTTCTAATGACACATGCACTTACACTGACTATAAAAAACAATACTCCTCCGATTTAATATATAAATTACTTTTTAAAAATATAATTTAATTTATTTTATAAATTATTAATTGATGAAATTATTTTATTTCAACTTAAAATTTTTAAATTATTCTTAAAAAGTAAAAGAGAGAAAATAAAAAATAATATTATATTATTTGTGTATTTTTTATTTTTTTACTTGAGGATTATATTTAAAATTTTATTTACCTTTATTCTTTATATTTTTTTTGTATTGACATTAATAAATTTAATAAAAATAATTTATAAGTAAGATCAGAAAGAGTATAATATAAATTTGACAAACTTTTATTTAAATAGAGGTAAAATCAAAAATTTATTTTATTTTTAGATAAAATTAATTATTTAAAAAAATTAAAAGTGTTTTATAAGAGAGTTCGGGATGAGTATAAATGTATTATCTGTACTTGTTGAATCATACCATTTCCTCTTATAGCTTCCACTTCCCAGGGAAAATCTCAATAACGTGGCCGTTAGGTTCCATTTTTCCACGTTGTAAGGTAGAAGAAAGAAAATGGCATTGATAGAACTCAAACGCTGAATTGATTGATGAACTAAAACTAGCACCATCTTTTTTTAATTTACGTGATACAGTATGACTTGGTAGTATATGATAGAGGCTGCTGCTTTTTGACTTAATTATCACTGAGATTTGTACGAGTGGGATGATGAGGAAGCAAGATTCCTTACCAACACTTGGTTGAATACTACGAAGCCACCACCGTGCGCTCTGAATTCTCACAAGAATCCAATGAGAGTTAGCACGAAACAGCCCCTTGGTCCCACGACAATATAATCATCAATCCCATTCTCAATAACTTTAATCATTTCTCATCTTAATTAATTTATTTATATTATAAATATCATTACTATTATGAGGCAAACTGTGCACCGGGGATACATAGCAAGTTTCCACGCTGCTTGTCCTTCAAACAAGCTGAGACTATCCGCAAGTTTCAACTTTTAAATTAGACAACTTGCAAGGCATATTAGGTTTCATTTGGTACCATATAATTTAGAAGTATAAAATTGGAATTGAATATGAAATTTAGGTTTATCTCATTTGGCACGTTATATGTTTTATTCCATGCGGAGCTCAATTCCATGGAAATGATTAAAATTTCATGGAAGTCAAGTCTCTGACTCTTTTACCCCTCCACTGTACACTCTTAAACAAAACAGTGATGACGACGACAGGACCAGCTATCTCATTTTCATAGAAAATCAACAAGCTCACTAGCCAACTCCATCACCTACATCAAGCTTCGCCCTCGCCGGTTTCACTTCTGCCACTCTCTCTCAATCCATCCTCTTCCTCCTCTTCCAAACTTGATACCCATCGATATCTCCTCACTTCATTCACTCATCACCAATCAGGACACTTGCTGTCTCCTCACTCCCCGCCCAAGAATGATTGTAGTTCCTGATGAAGCTAAGCAAACAAGATTTACTTTGCATATTCTATTTGACATAACTAAGCCTACATGAAGAAGGTGTTGGTGGCAAATAGGAGAGCAGAAGCTGCTTAAGTAGTGTCTAAGGACACTATTTTTAAGAATTATTTCGACACACTATGATAGATTGACAGTTTTTCAAAATTAAATAAGTGCATTTTGCACAAACAAGGCAATAGAATAGTAGCACTAAGGAGAAGAAACTCAAGTAGACAAACACAACACAATCAAGGCAAAGGAAGGAAGAAGTAGATTGAAAACTCAAGAACCAAGGCACATTGTTTTGTCTGCATGCATGCCTATATACAAGTCTAAATCCTGGACATAAATGTTGGACTTATAATCATTGGACCGTTTAAGAATTTGCTTAAAGGATGCAAAAGGTTGAGGTTCAAATTTATATTTAAATCAGTCAAAAAATAAAGTTTTCTGATAAGCTCATTTAAATAAATAATTATTTTTTTCTGCAAAAATAATTTAATAAAAGGAATCTAGTGCCTCTTGAACTCACTTGCAAGAGGTGAATTGATTATTTTTAATTGCGTTTGTCTTGAGTTGGCCTATATCATGCTTGCGAGCTTACTTCTCCTCTAAGTTCATTTTACTAACCCATTTCATTCTATAAAATTTACACATTAGAGCTCTCTTCATTAGGTAATGTAGGACTTCTTCTTTTAACACACACACAATTACTTTAACAGAAGAAAACAAGCTAGAAGAATTATGTCCAAAAGTATTGCAGAGCAAAAGAGAGGGAGCGTAATGAGCTTCAAAACAATGGGATCGAAGAAAGAAGACGACATTGAAGACCGAACATATGACTTGGACGTATGAAGCAGGGGAATTTGACAATGTAGATCTATAGGTTTTGATTGGATGATGACAATCTTCTGCTTCTTCCAAATTTGGCTTTTAATTTGAAAGCAATGTTCTTTATCTTGTTCCAAATTTATAGGTTCAACCCAACCAGATCTAAATCTCTGGATTGTCATTTCAATGGTGATTTGCTTTTTTAAGTTTAACGGTGGTTTCCATTCTTCAATTTGTTGGATGCGTGTTGGTGTTTTCGATGATTATGTTCGTTACCTTATGATCTTCAATTTGGACTATGATGGTATTTTATTTTATTTTTCCTCTCCAGGGATGGTTCTTCCAATAGCAACGTAGAATGGTGGTTATGGGGTCTAACCCCGTGTGTGTGTGTGTGTTTTTTTTTTTTTTTTTTAAATTGAGGTTGATTTGATCATTTCAATCGATTAAGATATACAGTGAAAAAAATTTATATCATATTTTCATGCAAATATCAAACATATTTTTACGCTCCACTTGTATCTCCATATATCCGTTCCCATATCTAAGCCCAATTTCATCGTGAAAAAAAAAAAAAAATTGGTTCCACCACATCAAACCGGTTTGATGACTTGGTTTCACTTTCCAT